TGTAGGGAGATTCATTTAGTGGAGTTTAAATCCATAAGGAGCTTTGTTCCAGTGGATGTTCTTTTGGGCATTGAGCAGTAGGAGCTGTTTAGTTGCTTCTTGGCATTGATGGGGAATCAAGTGTTTGATCATCCACTTAAAAACTTTGATGTTGAAGAGTTTAGTAGTTCAGAAGATGAGTACGAGTCTTCTGATAATGGTACCGATAATGAGAAAGCAAGACTGTTGGAAAAACCGGGTGTTGTAGAGGCGTTTTCTGATCGGTCTTCTCACCACCATAGTAGAGGTTACTTCTCTGTACAACCTGCCCTAATTCTATGTTATCCAGATGTTAGGGTTTCTGTGTTTGGATATAGTATCTGGAACATCCTCTACCAAGTCTTCTCGCCTTCACTTAATCTTTTCTTCCATTGTTTTCCTTCTGTTGTCTCCATACGAGGCCATGATACCATTTGCTGTTGAAGTTGTGCTTCACTGATCTTGATTTTGTGTTCTTGAAGGGCTCGATCACTGTGTGACTGCACCTGTTGGTATGCCCGGAGATATGCTGATCGATGGCAGTGAGATTGTGTTCTCTCGGTCGTTGACAGAAAAAAGGTCAACCCCCACGTATAATCTAAAGTTGGATAGATTATCGGAGCGTGAAAAGGTTAGCACACTGTAATCACATATATATAGCCATAAACTTTGAGATTTCTCGTCATATGTAGTTATATTAATCGCATTGTAGCATCATATAAGAAAATGATTGTCTATTTTGGTGATCTTATTTTTGCACTTTAGAAGGCTCATGAGATTCTATACTCGGACATGCTCATGCTTTACGGTATTTTTCCGTGGTTTCAGCGTAAACTTATAGTGGAACTAGTCAGAATACAAAATGATGGGACAGTGGAAGTTGATATAGATAGAAGCAACCCGGTATCGGAGTTATTTGAGCTCCAGCCAGTCACAGGGCGGTCCACGATCACATATGACAAATCCTTCGCTGAGTCCATCAAATCGATTCCAAGGTTAAAAATTGCTATTCTCGTGGTAGGAACTCGAGGAGATGTACAACCTTTCTTGGCCATGGCCAAGCGACTTCAGGTGAGTTTTATTTTTTATTTTTTTGTTTCATTAGTTCCCGTTGTTTTTTCCTTCTTTGTTTTAGTTTAGATTTTTTTGGGGCAAGCGTTGCCATATCATATATGTTTTCTAGTTGTTGAATCAGTTCAGTGCGTCTCTATTATGTGTTCTATTTCTGTTTACAAAGAGCTGTCTAGTTATGTTAGGTTTCTTCAAACCATCTTTCACATATTGGTTCCTGATGCAATCTCTCTGGCCAGACGCTGAGATTTCTTAGTATTGAATCAGAGCATTTGGACTAGCTGAAGGTTGGAATTAAGGAATGTAAATTTAGGCAACAAAGCTTGAAGCTATTTATCGTTCTACTTTGGTTTCAGGAATTTGGGCATCGTGTTCGATTGGCAACCCATGTGAATTTCAGCTCGTTTGTACGTTCTGCTGGAGTAGAGTTCTATCCCTTGGGTGGTGACCCTCGGGTTTTGGCTGGATGTAAGAGATATCCTCCATGCAAGATTTCGTTTATACTTTCGTGTATATGTTAATGACTAAATCTTGATTGATTCAGCTGTGTATTCCTGGTTGTAGATATGGCTAGAAATAAGGGTCTGATTCCATCAGGACCTGGAGAAATATCGAAACAGAGAAAGCAATTGAAGGCAATTATAGAATCTCTTCTTCCTGCATGCACAGAGCCGGATATGGAGACTGGTGCTGCTTTTAGAGCTCAGGCAATTATTGCAAATCCTCCTGCTTACGGTAAAATTTCATACCAACATCAACTCATAATACTACTGTTATTGATACATACCAAGATCCAATACATAATTTTCTAGTTCGATTTTCATCACTTCCTTCCAAGAATATCATGAGTCGTGTTTCACTTCTATATTACAGGACATGTCCACGTTGCTGAAGCTCTTGGAATACCAATTCACATGTTTTTCACGATGCCTTGGACGTGAGTTTTTCTTTGCATGTTAATCTCATGAATCAAGATTCGGTCTTAACGTTTATTATTTTTCAAAATCTCTCTTACTTCCTCTTTCTTGTAGGCAGGCCGACCCAGGAATTTTCCCACCCTTTAGCTCGTGTACCTCAAAGAGCTGGGAATTGGGTACATATTTTCGCCATAATATCAAATGTTATCTTCTTCCGTTTTTCATCTCTGATTCTGTAATTCTACTTTCTTGCTTTCAGCTATCGTATATTGTCGTTGATCTGCTGATTTGGTGGAGCATAAGAGCATATATCAATGATTTTAGGAAGAGGAAGCTAGACCTTGCACCTATAGCTTATTTCAGTACTTACCATGGTTCAATTGCTCACTTGCCAACTGGTTACATGTGGAGTTCCCATATTGTTCCAAAACCGAGTGGTAAGGCGTACACACACATACACACATTCTGGTAAAATCTTTCATATATTTCTTTGGCTTTTAGTTGCTTTGTACATACAACTTTTAGAAATGCCACACCAAGACAAGCGCTTTGTCTGGTCTCAAGGCTCGTGTTCTTCTTCTGGCTTTGGGGTCCATTCTCAATTATCAGTTTATGTCATGTTCTAGTGCAAGCTGATGAACTTTGCGTTTACTCAAATTCTATAGGGGAATTTTTATTTTCTCTCTCGGACAATTACCAGATTTTGTCTTCTGATTTGCAGATTGGGGCCCTTTAGTTGATGTTCTCGGTTATTGTTTCTTAAACCTTGGATCGAAGTACCAACCTCAGGAAGATTTTGTTCGCTGGATAAAAAGAGGATCGCCTCCCATATATATTGGTTTCGGAAGCATGGTGAGCCAAAGACTGATACTGTACTGAAAAAAGTTGCTCTCTTTCCTGCAAATCTTGGAGCAGTTAGGATTGATACTGATATAGTCGGTTAAATTTCACTCCTGGAATTTCTTGACAGTAATCTACCTTTAGTGCATTATACTTCTCCAAGTGCGTAATTCGATATTCATATGTTAAATAGACGTTCTGTTCTTTTTCTTTTTTTTCTTTCACAATTTTCAGCCTCTCGATGATCCGAAGAAAACAATGGACATCATATTGGAAACATTAAGAGATACAGGGCAAAGAGGGATAGTTGATCGAGGTTGGGGAGGGCTTGGAAACCGTAAGTAGCTTTCTACCTTCTTGTTCGGCTCTTGTTTCCCGAATCAACTCAGTATCCATTTTGATTCAGTAAAAGCATATTCTGCCGCTATATTGCAGTTTCTGAAGTTCCCGAAAACGTATTCCTTTTGGAGGACTGCCCTCATGATTGGTTGTTTCCTCAGTGTTCTGCTGCGGTAAGCAAACTTAACGTTCCGAGAAACTTATATCTTCGATATTGGAGATACATCATTGTATTACTTACTTCATGTCTCCTGAAGACTATATATCTTATCGAATATTTCTGTTCTTTTTTCTATGGATATGAAGGTTCATCATGGCGGTGCTGGAACCACCGCAACTGGTCTAAGAGCTGGGGTATAAACTTTTTAAAGTTTGAATTTTTATGCGAAAAATATCTTAATATTCTTATTCTCCACACATTACCAAAATCTCCTATGGTGAAAATAGTCTGCCATTAAAGCCGATAAAGTTATGTAAACCCGATAAAAATTGTTTGTTCATTCTGTGCTTACTCAGAAGTTACGTGGTGCAGTGTCCAACGACTATCGTGCCGTTCTTTGGGGACCAATTCTTCTGGGGTGATCGGATTCATCAGAAAGGGCTCGGACCTTCACCAATACCGATCTCTCAGCTCAATGTGGAGAACCTCTCAAATGCCATAACATTCATGCTTCAACCAGAGGTAACACACATTCAGTTTTCCATACTCTATCCTGGTATAAGTTATAACGATTACATTCTTTCGTATATAGCCTCCACCCGGTTACCATAGCTTCGCTATCTTCCCTTTAAATGAAAAATGGCGATGCTAACCTTTTGGGGATTATTATAGTCTTAGGATAGTTTCCAACTGCAAGTTCCAGTTGGATACGTAGTTTGCGGGTGGCAAAAGCTCATATGTAGAGATTGTCTTATCCGTATCTATATTGTCAAATGGTGTAACCTCGGAATCTCACAAACCCTTTGGAATCTTTTGGCAACCGGATTATATCATATGCCCAGAAAATACCCAGAGACAAGTCTTGTTCTTTTCCCTGCAAGTTTTTTCCCATCATTTGGGAACATTCTCAGACTAAAGTAGGACAGACATTTGAGTTCTCATTTGGTCTCAACTGGAATATTTGGCCTCACACCTAACAGTTTTCTGTTAAGATCCTGTTAGTTAGTTACCCAGTTGACAGATTTCGGGTTGTATATAAAGATGTATATTCTGTTGAAGTGAATACCCATTGAAAAAGTTTCCACATTTTCCCTCTGTTCTAAGGCTCCCTGTTTCTCACATTTTCTCACCATCCAAACAACCTCTCTTACCATATCTAATACAGTTCTTATCCACATGAAACATGATCTCTCAGGTGAAATCGCGGGTAATGGAGCTAGCGAAGCTACTAGAGAACGAGGACGGCGTGGCTGCAGCAGTGGATGCATTCCACAGGCATCTGCCACCTGAGCTCCCGATACGCCATTCTTCCTCCCCCGAGGAGGAGGAGGAAGACGATCATCCCAACCCGATACAGTGGTTTTTCATTCAGATTGGGAAAAGATGCTGCCTTCCTTGTGGTGGTGTATGAACATTTCTTACAGGATTCACTTGCATATGTTCTCTCAACAATTCATTGATTTCATTCATGGTCTCATGGTCAGGGACTTGATGTTATGTATATTGTGGTATATATAGGCTTGTTTTTTGTGGGGTTGGATGTGTTAGGAATAAACTTATTGGGGTTGATTTTGTATTTCTGTTAAGTTGGTGGTTCAATAGGATTGAAATAGTTAATAGCTTACCCTTATGTCCCCTTTTGGGTCCACAATGTGTGTTGACATAAAAGTTTGGGGTTGTTCTTGTAACTTTTGTAAGTTGGTGGGCTAAAATAAGGATAAGTTGTGTTGTTATTTTTTCGTGTTCTATGTTAAAAGTCAGATAAATGTCGGTACCATTTACAAGTTACCGATTATGTAAAGTATTGTTTTCGCCGAAAAAAATAGTTACAAATTAACTGAAATCGATTGAAAAATAGATTTATCATTTTTGTATATAAATGACCTGAAAAATACATATTGATCAATAAATTAAATCTAATAAAAAAATGTTTTTAAAATAAATTAAATGAATTTGAATGAAATATAAAAATAATAAAAACTTGAGTAAAACAAAATTGTGAATAACAAATAAAATTTTGAACGAAAATTTAAATTCAATAAATTTTATTTTAAAAAATCATAACTAATATTTTTAAATAATATTAAATTAGGATAATAATTATATTATTCGATGTATAAAAACTTAAATATCCAAAGCAAATTATAATAATTTAGTTTGACAAAATCCTCCATTTCAATTGGTATTTTAAAGAGATTGTAGCTGTACACTTCACAACTTTGTGTTTTTTTTTTTTTTTTTTTTTTTTAAGTGCAGGGAGTCCTAATCGCCCTGACGAACATCCAAGCCCCTACCGACCAACGAGGCCCGGACAAACGTCTCTGGAAGCATGTTGCTGATGACTTTAAGGACTGGTTCTCAACGGCAAAAATATGGGAGCTAATAAGAGAGAAGCACCAACATGTGGCTTGGCACAAGTTAGTATGGTTCCGTCATTCAGTCCCGCGATTTAGCTTCCTTCATTGGGAAATTGTTCTCCGCAGATTACCGACAAGAGACCGTCTTATGACCTGGGGGCTAGGATTCGAGACCATCTGCGTATTGTGTGAAGCTGCAACTGAAAGCCACGACCACCTCTTCATGGGCTGTAGCTTCAGCTATGAGATTTGGAAATCCTATGCTCAGCGGTTCTGGCCCTCTCCTCCGAGGGAACTTCAGCATTGTCACATCTGGATAATGAATCAGGGCAATACAAACTCAAGACATGAGCGCTTGATTGTAATGAATCTGCTGCAGGTTGTGATGTTACCATCTTTGGAAGGAACGGAATTGCCGAATTTTCAGGAATGAAAAGCGGGATAAGCTGCAAATCTGTAAGGGAGTGGACCGCACTATGAGGGATCTATTGTTCAATATTGACAGGAAGGGGAAACAGCAAACCACAAGCTGTTTGGAGGATTGGTTCTACCACACCATTGACAACCATTAGCATATTCACTTAAGTTTTAGAAAGGATTGTAACAGCTAAATGGCTGGTTTTGTTGACCACTTGCGTATAGGTATCCTTCTCCTATAAGGCTGCTACTTTTGTAAACTTCACCATTTTTGCTATATATATGATTAACATTTTACCAACAAAAAAAAACTTTGTGTTTTTTTCTCAGAAATTAGTCTCCAATAAAACTTGAAATAATAAATTTTATTATATGGTCAATATTTACAAAAAGGGATAAAATCGATAAAAATTTTACTTGTAAAATAAAAATGGCTGAAAATAAATTTCTAAACTGCATAATAAATTATTTTTTAGTTTACAAAATATATCATTATAATTTTTCAACTTGTAAAATATATCATTATAATTATCATACTGAAAATAAATTTATCAAACAAAAAATTTAGAAATTTGTTTTACGCATTTTTTTATTGGTTTTAACAAAATAAAAAAAAAGCATTATACTCGATCCTTATGTTAAGTTTTGTTGTAGTGAAGTCATAACTAATCAGTTAATTAAATTAACCCAATCAACTAGTTAACTATTTCTTCATACCAAAAAAAAAACTTATTTTCCTATACTATTCCGACAAAACTTTTGGTCCAAAAACTTTCCTTTGTAGTAGTCTTTGGAATCTCTCTCCCCCTCCACTCCAGCAGCCTTCGCCACTGCCATGAAGCGACGAGCGCCGGCGCCGGCGGCGATTATCCGGCGCGGCGGGGGACTTGGGATCGCTGCCATGTCCTACGTGGCGGTTGACTACATGCGGTACGTGTCGCCGACGTGGCACGAGCGTCTTCAGCCGGTGCTTTGGTCTTTCCTCGCTCTCGCCGTCGTCACGCGCGTGCCGTCCTACAAGCACTGGTCCGCCGAGCTACGCGCCGCTTTGCCTTTCCTAGGCTCCATGGTCTTCATGCTCGGAGCTCTTCTATTCGAAGCTCTGTGTGTCCGCTTCGTCACTGCTGTTCTTGGATTAGATTGGCACCGGTACTTGCTTGTTCCTTTCTCATGTTTTGTCGGGTTTTCTTTTTTGTTGCGGGTTTCACTCTAGGCTATTTGTTCATCGAGCTGAAAAATGGAACTCACTTAGATGATTGCTTAGCTGAGATCTGAGCCTTGATTGGGCTTTGTCTGGTGGGATTCAACTCCAATGATCCGATTTCTTGGTTGAGCTGAGAATGATTGTTTCTTGCTGGAATCTGAGTTTGGTTTGGGTCTTTTTGTCTGGTGGGTTCAGTTCATACAATCCGATTTGTTAGATGCCATGAAAATGGAGCTTGTTGAGATGATGATTAGCTTAGATCTGAACTTTTTCTTGGGTTATTGAGTGGATGATTTGAAGCTGAACAATGCGATGCAACTTAGCTCATTTCTTGAATCTTCCTGTTTCTGCTCAAAAGGGTAATTGTGTTAACAGCATCATCTGTTAGGGTTTGATTGATCCCTCTTATCTGATCAGATTCCAGTTATTCTGTAGCACCTGAAATCTGTTGAAATTTCTTTCCTTTTCTAATTTCTATAGAAATCTTGAAGTGGCATTCTTGGCGATCAAGGAATTCAGGCGATACTCACTAAAACTAAAACGTTTTTGTCTTCCCTCTAGTAATTGATAGCTAGTTGGTTTATATTCATCTAAAAATGATGCAGAAAGCTGACACAAAACGTTTATCTGTAGTGGTAATGAGAAAAAAAGATTAGAATGGAAACCATATTGTGAAGATACAATCGAAACCCGAGTATAGATTGTCGAGATCTTAATTCTGAAGTCTTTTCTTGGTTTTACTTTCGCTACTCTAGGCTTCATGTTCATCTTTTGTCGGTGTAAATTCTCTCCCGTTTCTTCGAGTATAGATTGGCGCAAAACTTGCAGCACAGATACGAGCAGGAACGTCGGAATGATAATGTTTTCTTTGATGCATTGACAGGGATGCCCATCCTCTCCCCGACACGGGCCAGTGGCTGCTACTTGCACTAAATGAGAAACTTCCCGGAACAATGGTAGAAATCCTGAGAGCCCATATCGTCGGATTGCACCATTTCCTTATGCTTTTTGTGATGTTGGGTTTCTCGGTGGTATTCGACTATGTGAAAGCCCCGGGTCTAGGTCTAGCCGCGCGATACATGTTCACCATGGCAGTTGGCCGTCTTCTTAGAGCTATAACATTCATATCCACCATCCTTCCCTCTGCTCGACCGTGGTGTGCTTCAGCCCGGTATATCATCCCAGGCCATCCTCATCCCTGGGCTCAGAAATACTATGTCCCATACTCGGAGGACCCTGATTCTATACATCAGCTCTTACACCGGGATTTTGCTTACGGTAATCTTCCACCCCGATATGCTTAGTATCTTTATGATTTAGGATTGTGTCAGGGGAAGTAAGTAGACTTGCCTTGGTGAGTTGGTTGCTTATTTATGAGCTATACGCTGGATTCTAGAGTCTATATATACGTATATATATATATATATGTATATGAATTCATGCTGTATTTGCTACATATTTCTGGGAATTGAGTAATCTAAGAAGATTAACTTATAGACACTCTTTTTCATATTTAAAGTTCATCCTGGAGAGTACATCGGTGAATATAGACCCGAGTGGGGTTCGATGAGTTTTCTCATCGATTTCTTGAGACCCGATTACTCAGAAGGATCTTCATGGTTCGGCCTACTGAAGAGAGCCGGCGGTGGATGCAATGACTTACTATACAGCGGTCACATGCTCGTTGCTGTACTCACTGCTATGGCTTGGACGGTATTTTTCTTCTCTATTTTGTATCGAAAGCCGAATATATGACGGTTCATTCCCAAAAAAGATTGGGTTAAAACTTATAATCGACGAGAGTATACTGTTCTGTGGTGAAATCGTGAACAGGAAGCATATGGAGGAATCTCGTCGGGGATGATATGGGTTCTCGTGATTCACAGCGTGCAGAGGGAAATACGGGAAAGGCACCATTACAGCGTGGACTGTGTGGTGGCAATATACGTCGGAATCCTCCTATGGAAAATGACGGGTTTTATATGGTCGAACAAGGGATTTAAAGCAGAGAAGACGAAGCTCGAGAAGATCCAGAACAGGCTGGTACATGCCGCAAAAGATTCAGATATGGACACAGTACGAAGACTTGTGGAAGAACTCGAGGTAAGTGGTGGCGAGGAGAGACAGACGGACAAAGTGTCGAACAGGACGATGTTTTTATTCGCTGGAGCTACCGTTATCACTACGCTTACTATCGTTCTTCTCGCATTCACGTTGACAAACGACGGATAAGGAGTTCGTTCGTTACTGCTAAAGATCCAAAGTATGATGAACTTTTTCTTTCGCTGGCTGTCATTTGTGTGTTCTTCAGACATTAGGACATGTTCAGGAAGGGCACGACATTAATATTCTGTCTTTTTCCACGCTAGAGTTTTGCTTGTTTTGTTATCTTTGGTTGTATCAGAATATCTGATGGGTTTGTGAAATAAAAATTAGGATATGGAATGATACAGGTTTTGATCGATAATTTTGGTTGGAATCATGTAATCTTTTGTTTGATCAATAGTCGAATTTCGATTATTAGAATCGGAACTACAGTTTGTATGAAATAATAATTTAATAAAAATATGGTAATCAATATGAATATATCAAAGACATCTTCTAACGATATATATATATATATATCTAAAGAAAAAACATTCAGAGTGAAAATTTTTAAAATTAAATCAAACCTAATAATCATTCGGTGAACTGGTTATTCGAATATTTAATGAATCGAGCCCGAATGATTATTGAATTTTTTTCAACCTATCGATTATTAAACGAATAATCAAATCGAATCGAACCGCTGTTATTCGATTCGGTTCGTTTATTCAATTAATAATCGAAATGACCATTTCTAAGTTTCACTATTCAAATACTATTTTCAAAGGATTCGGGTCTCCGTATTATTTTCTAATTACACAGTAAGTATTTATTTCTAATTAAATGTCTTTAAAATTTTCACTGAATCTTTAATTGGTTTAATTTAATAAAATTTAGCTTTGATTATTTAATTAATAGGGTGATATAAATTGGTCATACCACAATCAACGAAGAGTGTGAAATTATGGTTGTGTTCAAACTGTTGTAACCATAATAACAAACAAAATTCAAACTATTTTTGGTAATATGCATTGTATAGAGTTACACCATAATTCTCATGGAACCTTTTAGTTTTCCTTTAACAACATCTTTATTTAGTATCCATCTTTCGTCTTTAAATACATCGATATCTGCATATAGCCAAATCATCATCGAGATCTTAAGAGTTTTTTTTTTTCTCTTCAATAAAAGGAAAAAACCAGTAATCGATGTTCAAGAAAATCATTGTTTTATGTCTGGTTATCGCTTTGGCGGTAGCCGAGACGGAAGCGAGGAAATTCCCGGATCTCGGGGTGACGGTGAAGGGATGTGACCCGAGAGACCCAAAATGTCGGAACTACATACACTACGGAACGTTGGATCCGACAAGGGGGAGGTCGTGTGATCGGAGATTTCCCAATAGATGCAGGAAAGTGCCTGTTAATCCTTACCGTAGAAGCTGCACTATTTCCACCGGTTGCCGTCATCAACATCCAGATTGGACGAGTGCACCCCCACCCACCCCATCCAACCAAAAATTCCTTTGATTGTTTCATCATTGATTTCATTTGACTTATAATTACACATTATTCATGTGTGGATTCTTGTTGTTGTTGCCTTTTCTAACATCATTCTCTTATTTATAATATTCAATTAATAAATTTTTTTTTATAACGGCAAATTCATTAATTCATCAAGTAATAATTCTGTACATATCCGGCAATCTGTCAAAATAAACCTGCAATGGATAGGATTCCATGAAAAAGAGATTTAGACTCAAAAGTAACATTGACCCATTAAGATTATCCTCGCAAAAATTGACGGATTGGTGCTGTAATAGTTAGCCAATAGTCTTCCGTTGCTGAAGAAAGGCCTCTTGAAATGATGATGTTGCGCATCATCCTGTCCAGCTGTAGCCGCAACTTCCCTACCGAATTTGATTCCTTCTCGAACAACCGACAGTTCCTCTCACGCCAAATAGTATAAGCAGACGCCTGTATGAGTAGCCTCGTCATCTCCCCTCTAGGTGAATTTCCGCCATCTGATTGTCGTTGAAGCCATATGATGCAATCTTCCAGAGTTGATGGAGGCGATGGGTAGCAAACCACAGAAATTTTTTTTCCAAAGTTGCTTACTAAGATCACATTCAAAAAACAAATGGGAGTGAGTTTCATGAGCACTATGACAGAGGACGCAGGTGGGTTGCACTCCAATTCTCCAACTAGATAGCCTATCCTTGGTAGGTAACCGAGGCAGAAATATTTGCCATAGGTTGAAGCTGAGTCTCGGAGTGGGTAGCTTGCACCAAACCAATTTCGACCATGAAACCCTAGTAGCACTCGATCTTACTAGCTGCCAAGTCGCTTTTGGCGAAAACTCATTGCTATAAGAAGTTTTTGAAATCCTCCACTCATACCTGTCCTTTCCAGCCCCATCTGATGGTGGTTGAATGGAGGAAATCCTTGTCAGGATTACCTGAACAGCGGCAGATCGAGCACCCGGAAAGTGCCATTCCCCATTCCTTACAGCATCATTCACTTTCGCATACAAGGGTACCTTTAAAACTCTTGGACCATTTGCACCGGTTAGATCAATCAGAGGCCCCAAACCTGTCCAGTTTTCATGCAAAAAATCAGCTTCCTTCCCGTCCCCCAATGTACATCTAATGAACTTTCTCGCTTCTTGTCGAAACCCAGTAATTTCCGAATGCTTTTTGTCGAAACCCGAGTAATTTCCGAAGGTGGCAGGAGAGCCTATGCGAGGGAATAACACTCCAAAGACCTTTCTTTTTCAAGATGTTTTCTTTCAGCCAAACGACCCATAACGAACCTGCTTCCCTGAAGATGAGCCATATACTCTTTAGGCGGAAAACCGTGCTGAAATCCTCCAGTCGCCTTAAACCTAGCCCTCCCTCGGACTTAGGTTTGCAGACTTGTGACTAGGCAACTCTCGGCGAGTTCTTGCCATCAATTGTGTTTTTCCAAAGGAACTTCGAACATAGTCTCTTTTAACAGAAATTTTGGCAACAGAAATGCACGACTCCAAGCATTAATCATTCCATATATCACTGAAGAGATCAACAGAGTCCTAGCTGGGTAAGATAAATATTTTGTTGTCCAAGTGGTAAGTTTGCTTTTCACCTTTGCCAAGAGAGGGTTGTAATCCTGACGATTGAGCTTCCACGGACCAATAGGCACTCCTAAGTAACGGACAGGCAGTTTTCCCAGGGAAAACCCCACCTCAGAGCTGATGGTCAGAGCATCCTGATGTGTCACACCTCCTAGAATCAGTTCAGACTTAGTCGGATTCAGGTACAATCCAGAATACCGCCCAAACTCCAGTAATAAGTTTTTTGCCTCCATAATTGAGCTCGCTTCTCCCTTCACAAACACTATCAAGTCGTCAGCAAAAACAAGATGAGAGATCAGAGGGGAGCCACACCTTGGATGAAAGTTCAGAATCCCTTGCCGCATAGCCCTGTCTAATGATCTTGATAAGGCTTTCATGGAGAGAACAGACAGATATGGGGAGATTGGATCACCTTGACGGAGCCCCCTAGTTCCCGGAAAGAATCCCGCTAACTCATCATTGATGGCCACCGAGAAAGAAGGCATTGAAATGCATACTCGGATCCATCCAATAAACTGTGACGGTAAGTGAATAGTTTTGAGAATATCCAAAATGAAATCCCATGATATAGAATCGAAAGCCTTCTTTATATCCACTTTCATCATAGCACTAGGCGCCGCACTCGCTTTGTGATAATCTCTAATCAGCTCCGAGGTAAGTAATATATGGTCCAACATATTCCGACCTCGTTGGAATGCCACCTGATTTCCTGATACCACCCAAGGGAGGATAAGCTTAAAGCGGTTAGCGATAATCTTTGAAATAACTTTGTATAGAAAGTTACAACAACTGATAGGCCGAAAATCCCCTAGCTTTGTGGCTTCGGGAATCTTAGGCACCGAGGTGATTATGGTGGCATTGAGTTCCCTTAGTAGCTTCCCTGTGCGAAAGAACTCTTTCACCCCTGCAATGAAGTGCTCTCCCACGGTATCCCAAGAAGATACAAAGAATTCCTTTGGGAATCCGTTTGGCCCGGGAGCTTTGTTCCTCGCCATGGATTGGAAAACTTGGGTAATCTCCTCCGAGGTTACCTCCGCGATTAAGGATGCTTGAATCTCACTTGGACAAGCTTCGGGGAAAAGACTGTCTAACCAAGCAAGAGGAGCACGCAATACATCCGGGTCTGAACGGCCAAGCAACTGTTTGTAGAAACCCACTGCATGGTCTTTTATGGCTGAAGGGTCTGAGATCTTATTTCCAACCTCATCTGTAAGGAAATGAATCTGATTTCTAGCTCTCCTCTGGCGGACCGAATTGTAAAAATAAGAGTTGTTCCCATCCCCTAGTTTCAACCAATTTATCTTGGATTTTTGCCTGAAAAAACATTCCTCCGCTTGCAGAAGCCACCGCCAATTCTGTCTCATTGCATACTCTTGAGCTGCTAGCGTCGGATTGGGGGTGGTCAAAAGGGCTGATTGAATTTGCTCAAGTTTCCTAGTTTCCTCTTTCAGCTTTTGTGGAAGTTGATTGAAAGCACTCCTATTTAGCCGTTTCAAAGGATCTTTTAACTGTTTGAGACTTTTGCAGAACTTGAATTGAGATGTACCATTTACATCATCATAGCTCCAATGATCTGCAACAATTTGTCCAAAGGATGGATGAGTGGAGAGGTGGTCAAAGTATTTAAAGGGACGTTTTACCCGATGTTGCATACTCGACATGTGGATTAAGCAAGGAGAATGATCTGAGACCCCGGGTGCAAGAAATTCCCCATAAGCTCCGGGAAATCTGGTTAGTCATTCTTCGTTTATCAGCACTCGGTCCAGCTTAACTGAAACTGGGTTCTCCACTTGATTGTTCCACCATGTGTACCGGTTACCCTTGCAACAAATATCAAATAAGGACACATCCTCTAGGCATGAAGCAAATTCCTCCATCCCAGCACCCCTCAGTTGGTATCCAGGGAAGTCTGAACGGTCTTCCGGCCGAAGAACCTGATTAAAATCTCCTAAAACAATCCAAGGCTGATCTGTCATCAGAGAATAAGCTGAAATTTCACGCAAGCTATTCCAAAGAGCTATTCGGGCAGCTGGTTGATTTCTGGCATAGACAAAAGTGGCAATGGTCTTAAGACCCGAACTTAAATCTTCAATTCCACAAGTTATGGCTTGATCTATTACGTGATAGATCGTGACATTTACCGTTGGATCCCAAATGATCCAAATCCGTCCGGAAGGGTCAGCGAAGTGATTTGAGTGATATCTCCAACCTTGGGGTATAGCAGACACAAAACGAGCCTCATTTTGGGTGAGAATGTGGCTCTCCAAAAAGGCA